CACTTCCTCCTTTATAATAAATTCCTGAAATCAGCCATAATAACTAAGTTCTTTCTGTGCCACTCACACAGTAGACACTTAAGGTAATTTTCTGCAATTGTTGTAGTTACTTGGACAGAAAGAAAGTTATAGGAGGTGAGGAGGCTGCTTATGAATACAGATGGGGAGCTAGAGCAGAGAAGGAGCTCACTTGGCGACGTGTACTAAAGTTTGTGTCTGAGGTATGTAACCGGCAAAGTTCATTTTCTATGTTTTGTTTTTTCGTGATTGAATTGTCAATACACATCTGTATAATTATTAAGTGTTGATTAGACAAGGTTTTCCCCTTTTACTTTCAAGATCTCATTTATTTAGTAATTCTCCTTTCTGTCTGCCATATAATTTCTATGATGTTAATTTGGCAAATTTTAACTATTGGATCAACTAGTAATTCTCTAGTTAAAATTTTTTCTTTATGCTCATTCCTTTTTTCCTTGATATTGTTTTGATATTGTAAGGTGAAATTCTGTCTTGGTCTCTCATGTTAGCTAAGAAGTGAAAGAAATTTGATTTTTCTTTTCGTGTCCCAGTATGGTGTTGAATTCGGGGCGCAAAAGGGGTTAAGTTGAAGCGGGGGGAAGAGAGTCTGAATAGGAATAATCTCCACTTCCGGTATTGCGCGATCCGAAATCTCCTTGAAGCATGTTTCGCTTCACTTCGTGTTGTGCATAAACATCGTTTTAAAAAACTGTTCTTGTGACAGTCAAGTTGCTTCGAGTCGAAACCTTGACCAGTTATTTAATGCAAAGGAGAGTGGTGTAACAAATGAGGAACGCGATATACATTCGTGTACAGTCTAGCTACGCAAAAGGAGTTTTAACACAGTCGATCGCTACACCTTTAGACTTCAGATATTCTTCAGTCACTCTTGTTCATGATATTTCGTAGATCTATGACACCCAAATGGAAGACTGGACTGTCCAGATGAAGGAGATAATTGCTAAAGAACAAAGCGAAACAAGAAGCACCCAGTGAGGGGAAATATTAATCTAGGGAATTAATAAGAAAGATGGCTGTCCGTCATCATTTTACCCTGTTCGTTTAACTCGTTACTCGCCAGCTGGTCATTTCCTTGAATCTCAGGCCATAGCGGATTTATTTAACAAAGATGAAAGAAGGACTAAATTGGAAAAAAGATAGACATACTTTATATTGCCCAAACAAATGTTTTCAATGCGATCGTTACAGTTACATGTATGCAAAGACTATTGGTGAAACTCGCTAGGTCAATTTGTGGGTATTTGTAAATCCATGACAAAAGAAGGTTGTAGTTTATTTATGTTGCTAGTCGGTTGTAAAAAATTTTCTTTTTGGAGTAATGCGTAGGGTTTCCCATGAAGTCGTGAATGAGGAAAACTGATATGCATTCTGATTTCATTAAGACAAGTGGAGATTACTTGGAAGACGGCGTGAAGAGATTTGTTGCAAGTCAGTTCTTTAAGTTTGGCGGGTGAGATATGTTAAGTTAGCTAAATGTACGCAAATATTCCTGAACAAAGCGCTCTTTCAGCGCGATTGGAGGATTTTCAAATATAGACATATCTTTAGACAACTGCTATACCAATCACGTCATTTGGTTGAACTCATTTCGTCGAGTCTGGAAGATGATAGAGCGGTTCGAAAAAGGTCAAGTGCGAGTTTTATCCAAACAAAAAATGCGTTCGATCTCTGAGTTATTGTAAATGTTTTATTTTTAGCAATGAATTGTAACTGGCCCATAAAACGCTAATAGGGCAGTTGGAAGCGTTTTGGTTGGTCAGCAAAAATTCTTACCATCTGACTTCAAAGTGATATAAATGAGGAGTCTTGCATTGGTGTGATGTTCCTTATCTAGAATATCTCTCTCGACAATCAACTCATCCTGTTTAGCCCTGTTTCAACCCCTGGGGTCAACTAGTGCTGAACTTCCCACGGATAAGGCTAGCGGGGACCGGGGAGGGTGAGGTGGGAACTTTCTGGAGTGATTCCTATCGCAGTTAACCCTTGAGATTAATAACTCTTGCCTCATTCCCGGGAAGCGGGGGAAGGAGGGGAGGGGAGGGGAGGGGAAGAGAGATGTTAATGCTATACCATATCGAGATGGCTGCTCTCGGGGAGCCCCTTTACGCCTACATGGTCCATTTCCAAACTTTTTTGTTGGAGGGGAGGGGTATTCTTGTGAAGGTATTTCTACATTAATATTTTGATTGACTACACAAAGTACCTGCCACATTGTCCTTGGAACCGTAATGTTTTCCATCGCATTTTGTTAAGCGCTAGGCCGTAACCTCTTATTCTCCTCCTTGGGTTCTGATTGGTGCGTTGAGTTATTTCCGCCAGCTTGATAAAATCACTAAGAGGTTATGACGTGAGCTGACCTTAAACTAAGAGCCGGTCTACGAAAGCTCAGCTGTCACTTTGGAATGACGATGACACAAACAGACCATCAGATTATACTTGATCCTCTGCTGTTGATAAATCTTCAATCTACTTGAATATTTTAAGATAACGAATTGAGTAGTTAGCGGGTTCCTAGCTCACGCACTGATAACGGTAAATGATATCTTTACGACAATTAATACCCTTCGGTGTAGGCGAAAACCTGATAGGTGAAATTCCTCCAAGGGGTAACAGTTTAATAGGATTAAGTTCAAGATGCAGTTCTGATGTCTAATAATAACTTGCTTATGTTGTCACTGTGATTATGGAAAAGTCGCGTGCCTTGGCCTGTGAAGAGGAGTTTGAGATGAGTAGTCTGCAATACTTACCAGATAAACTTACATATGTTGTACCGTGATCGTCAACGACGGTAAGAAAGTTGCGCGCATGGGCAAGTACAAACAAGCATACGAGAATCTACCTGATCGAGAAAATAACGACATATTGTCAGTCGTTATCAGGATTGTAGGATCACATGGGTACCTCCTGTTACTGCAATTTATGCTGCTCTTATGTATTTTTATGGTGGGACAAAGGGCTTTAGACCTGTCGTTGGTATTCTAGGGTCCTTGAAAGCGATGATTTGATACAGAGGAGATAGTTTGGACTTTTTTCATTGGGTGGATGCAGTTTCTAATAACAAGGCAATGGGCTGGTAGGTGGTGCTGCGCAAAATTTTCGGTTTTGCGTAGAGTTGGACGATACAATCAGAGCTTTCACTGAGGTGATGCTTTGTTTCCCTGTTATGCAGACAAGGTAAATATTCTAATTGAAACATTTTGTTGCCGTCGATTGAGCAGAAAGCTAACGTTAGTTGGAGCAGAAAAGTGGTGTCGGGGCATCTAATTCTCTTCAGAAGCAGCTCTCAAAACAGACTATCGACTATGCCCACGCTCGCTCTGGCTCAGGACATATCATCAATCACAGTTTTAAATTTCGAAGTGATAAGTGTCTAATTCTCACCAGCGAATAAAGTCTAAAGAGGAGATCATAGCTAAAATTGGAGCTCAAACGCTTAGCAATCGACCTCAGCGTTTGTTGACGTTGATAAACCATTTTCTTTGTCAACATCATGCAAGCTTCCATCGTTATTTTCGCTCTTACATCAAAAAGCCCAGTGAAAACCCGGAATGTGCAAGAATCGGCTTGCCTCTATGGCTGAGAGATGTAACCGCCGCTGATTGGCCGAGTGGAAACTGTGCAAAACCACAGATTAAAGCTCATTTCCAGGCCACATTTTGTAACTCCTCGTATCAACGCGGGGAGAAAAGCTATCCTGGGGAAGAGGTACTTTTGTGTAATGCTTTTTCGGAGTCCATTTGATTGTTTGTGGGTATTTTCTTGTTTTATCAATGGTTATTTGCTTGCCCTTGTAGTGTGTTTAAATGCACGGAAAACTTCCATTCTATAGTTAACGGTCTTTTCAAAAAGCAGGGCCTGGTAAGAGGACGTCTTGCGTACTGGTCCATGTGTCCCGTTTGCTGGACCCAATCCAAGCTGGCACAGTCTTACTTGTGTCGGTTGCTATCTTTCGTACCAGCGGGTATGAAAGCCTAAGCAACAGACAGCCACGATAATTGCTGCCTGTTGGATACTAAACCTGTTCACACCCCTCTCACTTATGAATTCCCAACCCTCCTTTTTTTCGATAACGGCAGTGCGGTATTCAATTTCAACCTAAGACCATTGTCGAGTATGCATCGAAAAATATTACGCCGGAGGTTGGGGGGGGGGGGAGATAGAGAGGAGAGAGGAGGAGGGAGGAGAGCTAAGGGGGAGTGGGAGGGGATAGAAAGAAAGACGTCAATTAACGTCATTAGGATATTACGTGCAGCTCAACTTGGTTTTATAGTCATCACTATCAGTATTATTATTATTATTATTATTATTACTATTACAATTTTTTTTTATCATCCTCATCATCACCATTGTAATTATCGGTGATATCTTTATCAGTGGTGTTTTCAATATCTTCATCGTTATAATTACTTTGATTAATAACTGCTGATATATTAATATCTTAATTGTCGTCCTCGCTGTCATTTTGATTGTTATTACTGTTATCATTATTATCATTGTCGTTCTTAGTTCTTCTATTATTATAATAACCTGGACTGAATTATCAACCAGATAATTTGACCTATTATCTCTTTGTTTCGTTTAATTAGGACTTCCCATTACTAACATGATCGTATGATAGCTAAAGAGGTTATCAGCGTGTTAAGTTTCGAACTGCAGGCGTCTTTTGAGTCGTGATCTTGAGGAAATTAACCCTCCATGAGGGGTACAAATTGTCTGAGGCTGTGTTGTCTTGGCGAATGATGCTCATAATTAAAAACAAATTTTTATTGAATATTTATATTAAACCTTAAACTCTCAGATTCTGCTTCATAGGTTATGGTTAAAATTTAAAAAAAAAAAAAAAAAAAACACCCACACTGCACATTTTCCGTCGCTAAGCCTGGCTAAAGAATCACATTGTACGTGAAAGTATGACTTTGTAAACTTGATGTCCCAATGCTTCAACATACAAACGAAATGCTCATGAAATGACAACTTACCAAGCCATATTTTCGTGAGGTACCTTTTCCTCTTGTCACGTTTGTCACCGCAGTTTGGTTTTCATTCAAGTAACATTTATATCATGTTTTGTGGCCACGTGATCATCTGTTACATAACACACCAGCCCCAAGTGATTAGCCAACACCCGGAAAACTATTATTTAGATGCAGCGTTGTTTATTTACTGTACTAAGTTATACTCTGAATTTACCAATATCACTCTTCTAAACATAAGTTTATAAAATTTTCATCGTCATTTGCGCTATTCTTCAATGTTCCACCCGATTGAGGGATTTAAAAGCTCCCCTTCTCTGACCAGCCTCTTTTCCATTCCACCCCTACCCCCAGGGGCTAGCCATTCGGAATTTTAATAGATGCAAGCTTTGTCTGTGATGGTGTGTCTGTTTATCAGATTGGGCTGATTCATTCAAATATCTAAGTAGAACGAGTGCTAATCTGTCTCGTTTAGTCTAGATTTTGGCCAATCTTATTCGTTTATAATTTCCGGCCATCGTCTATAATTGCTGTTACCCCTTTAGAATGGAACTGATGACTAGTCTTCGCTTAGTTGAAATAGAATGAAAATATTTAACGCTATATTCAGAACAAGCCCTTTAACCTTATTCAACTATGCAAATGTGATAGGCTCACAAGAAATAGAAACTAGTCTTTATAGTTATTCGTAAACGTCAAACACCTGCTGAAAATTCAATAACTCAGCAAGGAGTTTGTATTTAATTTTTTGAAAATAAATTTTCAGTTATTGATTTCACCTTGTAACATGATCTAACCAAAGTTATTTACTGATATTAAATCTATCTTGACAGCTTAATTAACCCATACATCTCTTCTATTCGTAATATGCACCTCGAAAAAGATAATGCTCTTTTGCTCTGACTCTAAATAAAGAATCTCTTCAACAAATAAAAACGCACGAAGCATCGTGTAGTGTGCTGCAGCAAACGCATGGCAAGAAATCAAAAGGAAAAATCATAATTTGATAAGAATTTAGATCGAGGCAAATTGAAGGGGCTGCCTAAGGGTTGAAAACTCGTTTCCTTAGCAACTTCCGCAAAGAGAACATGTTGGAACACGCAGTGACTATAGCAGGGAGATAAGTACGCCTCTTATCAAAAATTGGCTAAAAAAGGAAATAGAGCGCTGGAACACTGCTTATTCAGAATTTCAAGCATATTTCTCTTGCATGCTAAATAAACGGATGTTAGGTAGCTGGTTCATTCACTTACTCCTCTGGTACTAGAGCTCAGTTCGAGAAGTGGCGAACAATCCAGTGCTATTCACTTGAGGTAAGTGTCGGTAACATCCATTCAACTGTGGTTAACGTTATGCATAATCGCCCAAACGAGTAAGTGACATTTTGTAATTCTCTGCCTTGCTGTGACTTTTTTAGCACTTTGCCTTTATAGTTAAAGATCCCTCCAGTCGTAATTGAGCTTAAAGAGAATAAAAACACACCCTCCACAATTCTATTGCCAGGGCCTTTTATCTCAGACTAATTAATGTTTGTTTGTTTATTTGTTTGTTTGTATGAGGAAATTCTTTTTAAAAGATCATGGTAGCGATAAGTTGTGTACAGAACACTCTCGTGTCTTTTCCACCTCTTTTCACATCATAAACTTCCTGTAGAGTAGCTAAACGGTTTAAGTTTGTTTGTCTTCGTAATCTTAACTGTTAGGATGGCTCAATTTGAATCTTTGTCTTGTAATTTAACTTATTTGAATCGAATTAATCCGAACTGCCAGTTTTTAACTCACAAATAAGGCCAGTTTTATAATTTGACGTTCAATTAGCACTAAAATAGCTAAGTAAGTTATTCGACATATCAGAATCGATGTGCATCCTCATTTGCAATGTTAAAACGATTTGAGTGTTTTT